CTAAAATCGTTTTTTTCGTTTTATTCCTTTCATGATTATTTTTCGAAGATAATACTTTAGCACAATGTTAGCACAACTTAGCACAATAAAAAAAATTTCGAAAATCAAAAAGTGGGGGGCTACCAAAAAAAACGGTTTTTTCCATTTTTCTCGCTCATTTTTCGTATTAAAAATTTATAATTCGAGCACAATGTAGCACAAACCTAGCACAAATCAGCACAACTGTCAAAATTAATAAATTCGAAAAGTGGGGGGCTAACTTCATACAGGCGAACTTTTGCACAGTCGGAGTGCACGGAGGTGGAACATCGAAAACGGAATGCCGCGGGAGAGAAACGCGGCGAGTGTCGATATCGAGTCTCGGATTTCCATCCTGTGTCCCTTTTTACGAGTCGTGGCTCGTTCAACGTGTCACGAGATTGCCATCTCACTGGGCAGTCTCGTCCACGATACGACGAGGAGTGTCGATCCTGCGAAGAGGGATCCGCAAGGATCTGCGCGCCAGGAAAGTGGAATAAAGAAGAGGCTAACTGCCGCGCACCATCGCAGCACTTTGGTCCGCGATCTCTCTTTGGGTCAGATGCGTTACCGTTGCTTTTATCGTATCGCTTCGGCGTCATTTGGAGCAGCGCTAAAGCGACAAAGAGAGAAACGGGAACGCAGCGCGACGCGATACTCCAGTAAAATTAGTCCTCGAGTAGGTGTGTATGCGCGCGCGCGTATGTAAATTTAATCGAAAGACCGAAAGGCAGCACAGAAATCAGGACGTATCCCTTCTTCGCGAGTCGGCACATCCGTCATCCTAGTTCCAGACGCGAAAAATCCCAGACGACAAGTGGGCGGCGCGGAGAAGATATGCGTCGAGACGATGCGGCGAGGACGAACCCGCAAGCAGGATATGCGCGCCGCAAGAAAAGTAGAGTAACGAGACGAGAATAGCATCCTGCCGCGCGTTCTTCTCGTCGTCGGTTACGGCTCGCGAGCACCTCGGGATTACTATGGCCGCGCGTTGATCAACTGAAGAATGTCGATGATCGTAATTCACGCGTTTGCGTCCGCTGAAATGTTGACGCGCAGCGACAGATTAAGGAGCACCCAAGTGAAAGAGACAACCTTAATTTAATCCTTCGATAGGCGCAGTATCTGATTGATACAGTTCCACATTTCAATTTTTATTAGGGAAAAAGGTATAGCGATTGGCAGTTTTTAGGATATATTTCTATTTTAAACTGTCTCATATATATTTTTACTTTAAACTGTCTGAAATATGATAAATAAAGAAATATGTTATTTAATGCTAACAAGTAAACCTACCCCAAAAGTTATACTCCGACGTCTTTCTGATTTGGCATAAATGTAGAAGTACAAAAAATATTTAGGTCATATTTTTTCACTTTGACCCACTTTGAGTTTCACGGGCAGTTTATAGCTTTTTAATGTTCTCACTCCTATCATCAACAAATGCAATAAAAATGCAC